TTCCAAACCAAAATGGTCAGCATTATAACAAAAGTTCAATGACTACTAAACCTTCTTATGAAAAGAAAATTGAAACACAAAAATTTCAATCCATAAATTAGGTTTGTGAGGAACGTCTTCTATTAGTATATATCAAATTTCTCATAGTAGGAGCAAGTGGCCCTTTACCACAGTGGTGGAAATGTGTTAAGCCCTTGCATGACGACGTGAGTTCAAACCCCGTTAGTTGTTAATTTAACAAAATTCATCGTTTGACAACAAAAAAAATGGTCATTTTGGTTCCGGTCCTTAATCAACCTAGTTGTTAGAATGAAACCTTATTTGTTTAAATAGTTTGATCAAGGTCCCTAGCATCATTTAAGGGATTTAACTAATGCTTTTATGCATTCAATATCCCACAAATTATGAAATTTAAACAAATCCAAATAATAATGTTGCAATAACAATTACTTAAAAATCAATAATAGAATAATTTATTCTCACATAGTTCTAGCAAGAAAAAAATACCCACGTACTTATTAATATAGTGCAAGAAATAACTATTGATATATTTTAAAACATAAAATAAATACATATAATTAGCATGGTATACGTTCACAAAAAAAATATTGGTACAAATTAAATTAAAAATATGGGTACATATTAAAATTCAAAACTATGGGTACAAATTAAATTGAAAATCTGGGTACATATTAAACTTCAAAATTATGGGTACAAACTAAAACTAAAAAGAATATTGGTATAATTTAAAAAAATGATACAAATTATAAATAGAAATATAAGAAGAAAAAAAACACTAAAAAGATTAATTTTTCATTTTTAAATTGACATATAATGACTTGGAAATAATTTAATATTCAAATAATGACATAAAGAAAAGTCAGGGACCTTGACCAAAAATGAAAATAGGAATAAGATTTCAATTAATGAGAAGGAGAAATGAGGGATGAAAACCTAATTTATCCAAAAAAAAATTTCTCATAGTAGGATGTTTCTTCTTTCCAAGAGGATGAACATCGGGCCAAGAAAATCGTACTTTTAATCAATTTTATACTACTTTAATCTCATTTATTGAAGCTATCAAGAAAAAAAAATTATTTATTGAAAGGTTGAATCCTTGTATGGCTACGTGGGTTCAAACCTCGTCGTTAGCTAATCTAACAAAATATATCGTTTGACAAAAAAATAAGCTGATTTTTTTTGTTATTGAACATATTGATTATTTAGGATATAAAATCACCCTTAGAGCTTCAATTTCAGATTTAATTGTTTGGCTTTGCACCCAATATTTGAGACTTAAACCCTAAAATCCAATCACTTAACCGATATAATAGCTCGTTTGGAAATGTTTTTCAAATGACTAAACGCTTTTGGTGAAAGTAATTTTGGGTTCCAAAAGCACTTGAAGTTTCACTTGCATTTTTAATAAGAATTAGTTTCAAAAGCACTTTCATTAAAAACGTTTTTGATCATTTTAAAATGAATTCCAAACATACAATAAGACTAGCATCTTAATTTAAGCTATAACATGTATGGATGTTGATTCTACACCCTAAAACATAACAACGCTAAAAAATAGGACCAAATCTGTATAGACGAGCCATTTTCCTTTTCTTTTAAAACGTAGCTGAGTCACTTAATGTAAAACTATATTCTAATGTGACTAGATTGGATGGCGCAAACTGTGGATTTCCCGTTTGCTGTGCAGTAGCTTTTCCGTTGTAGAAATTGATTAGAAATGAGATTTTTTTCAGCAAGTTCCGTGTTCGATGACATGGAGGTGACAATAGTCCCTCAGAGCGTGGATGGACTGTTGATTCCACGTATGGAATGTGCAGTGCAGACACTTGCCATGAGCTTAGCCAACGTAAAAACCAACACCCCACTAAGACAAATGAATGGAGGGAGCCCAACCATGTCATCACTCTCTCCCTTGGGCGCCAAATTACCAGCCAAGGGTACATGATTTTTGCATCCATCAAGATCAGTAAAAAGTAGAGAGATTGCAGAACGCACCATAAGAAAATATCAGGTCTCTGTCAGAGAGATATGGTATTATTCCTTTGTTTCCTTAATATAAATATACAAGCAGAGATGTATACTATATACTGTACTACTGCAGTCTCCAGCATAAAATATAAAGGTCTACCTGCAGTACATGACTTATTTAGTTTCTTGGTCATTTTCTTAGGTAAGCAGTTCCATTGTTGGTCATTAAGCGATTTAATATTTATTTATAAACACAGACACACACATATATAAATATATATCATTTGCTATGGCGACTTGGAATTCTTCCAAGTTGGTTGTTAAGGAGGACCTGATGAAGACTCAGCTCTATGTTTACAAAAAGAATAATTGGGATGACGACGACGATGACGACGATGATGCAGGAGCTGTTGCCCCAGCCGCATAGTTAAATGTATGCATTGAGAAAGCTTGAGGCACTTCCTCAAGATTGTGAGCTTGGCAACGATGGGGTACAGGATGGTGTGGTACTTCTACTTTTTCTCAACAGGTGGTTGAGCAATGCTCGGTTTTGGCAATTGGCCCGTGCCAGTTCTCAAAGATATATCGTTTTGTTTGATTGGGAAGGTTTCATATATATAGTATTGCAACAAACATTCAATAGAAACAAGTATATAGATTACATCTGCTGTATCTTGCTTTTCCCTGTGACTTAGGGGTGGTTTGGGAGTGAGGTGTTTAAAAAAAAAACACTTATGAAAAAAAGCTGTGAGGGTTTTAGGTGTTTGGTAAACTAAAAAAAATGGCTTATTTTGGAAGCTGCTGTGAGAATAAGCTGAAATCAAAAGAAAAAGCTGAAGCTGCTATTTGCAGCTTTGGAAAACTGGCTTTTTTTCAAAGCACACGGAGCTACAGTGCTCCTTTAATGAAAAGACTCACTACCAAACACTCTACTGATTTATTTCACAGCCGCTCATTCTCACAGCACAGCCGCTTATTCTCACAGTAGTTTTTTCTCAAAGCACAGCAATACCAAACCAGCTCTTAATCTATGATCCGGAGTCGTTACCGAAAAAAAAGAAAAATTATCACCATTTTTTTCAGTTGTAATGTACAAAGGCAAATGAGCTTTAATTTCTTTTGTCATTTAAATGGGGACGCCAGACGCGTATGAATGTATGGTATACTGTTGGAAAGCTCATGCGACACAAAATCTTATTAGCACAAAACCACACAAGAAACCGTACCAAAAGCATCAAAACAGGCATGAAAATCTATGCAAAAACCTAGTTTTCTCAACCTTGCTAGGGTTTTCAAAAGCATCAGAACAGCCATGAAAATCTATGCAAAAACCCAGTTTTCTCAACCTTGCTAGGGTTTTCAGTTTTGTCCCAGACTAGCTTGTTCAGTTCAGATATAGCATGAAAGATCATTAACTAATTTAAAGGATAAGTGCAGAGGCTTATATGCTTGGATATGTTAATTTTTTCTTCTCTAATTAATCTAATCTAAACTTTGCGAGCGATGGATTCAAACTTGATTGTACAAAGAAAGTACAATAGTTTTTGCGGTCTAAATTTCAGGAAGATTTTTGGGCGGTATGGAGTTTCTCTGATCAGTTTCCATTCTCTTCTGCATGGAATGGGCCTCACATAATCACATCTTCCTAGTTTTTCTTTCCAATTTTGTAGTGGAGTTGGCTCAATAATTCTTTGGGCACCTTGAAAATATTTTAGTGGTTTCTGGGCTTGAATTGAGGAGCCTACAGGCTGAAGGGCCCAATTGGTATTCCAAATGGTGTGGGTAAATAAGAGATAATTCAGGACTAATGGATTTGGGCTATAAATAAAAATTGCATTTCAAAACATATTTTTAATACAACAATATATTTAAACTAAAAAATAAGATAATAAATTAGTATTGAACTCGATATTTAAATCTAAAATCTTTTACTTATAAGTGGAAGAATACGACTAAACCATAATACTAAGTAGCAGAAATATAGTACAAAACATTAGAGAAATTTGAAATACATTTTTAACTAAGGCATTACTAAACGTTGGGACGCTCTATCTAATGTTGAATTGCTTTTCTAACCAAGGACATGTTACTAGTGGATTTAGGCTACATGCATAGGACGCACCTCCGCTTGCCAGAAATCGAGCACAAGAGCGATGGGCCGCCCTTCTGGTTCATCGGAAAACTAGCAAGTTTGCTCCTTGTTGATGCGTAGCGATGGCTGCATAGCCTTTTTTAAAAATAAAAAAAAATAATCAGGCCAAAGAGACGTCGTTTTGAACTTGGAAATTTTTGAAATGTAGAACATTAAGATCCTTTGTCTAATGTTGTATTGCATATGTAATCAAAGACTATTTGAGTTTGCATCTAAAATGGCTAAAAGGGATATCTGTTTAAATATTCTTTTTTTTTCCTTTAACTTTTGTTTAAAAGATATAAACACCTAGACTTTTCTGTCAAACATGACCAGAAATGTTAATAATGTCAAGTGCTATTTTGTAACAACCTGTCCCCAAATATTACGGTTTTTATAATTTTTAAATGTGAAATTAAAAAAAATGCCATTCGAGGTAAATGCGTTGACTTTTGTTGACCGTCTTGTCGTGTCACGTAAGATCCGTTTCCTTGGCATATTCTTGTAGTACTCAGTGTTACGAACGCGTGGGCACAAGTGAAATTAAATTTGGAGCTAAAACGAGGATTTTACGGAACTACGAAGTTGAGGGCAAAATGATAATTTGACCATCATCTAGAAGGCTCCAGATTTGATGGAGCAATGAGATGGTGCCACATGTGTGGCCAAGATGGAGGGATGAGAGAAGAAAGTAGGGAGGACGGCCAATTAGAAAGCTGAGAAATGAGAGAAATGAGAAAGGTGAGGAGTAGCCAATTGGACCCTAGACCACCCAACCCGTTTCCAGTTGCGACCCAGTCTCTGACCTGGTGTTCTGCCACTTTTCTGACGCCTTTCAAGGCGTTTTTCTAGCTTTTCACGGCCAACCACCACCTGTAAACATCACCACATAATCCTTCTTATGATTCCCACCTCAAACCCGACAAGTTTTGGCCACATTTCGTGGTGCACAGTACCCACGGGTTTGAAAACCCTTTATCGGTGATCGACCATTTTTGAAGCTTATTCCTTCCAGCACCACCACCACTAAAGGACTTCCTTAAACCCCAGGAACAAGCCCCAAACAAGATCAGGGGCATCGGAGTTCGATTTGAGGACGAATAAATGAATACCCATTTATAGGGTTCCGGCGGATCGAGGGTGATTTGAGGTGTTTTCTGGCCGAATTGGACTTCGGCCCATGTATGAAAGTTGTTCCTTTCATTGAGCTCTACTTGCTTGTAAAAGTTTGGCAATTTTTAGAGTAAGTAAAAAAATTGGGTTTTCGTTCGCCGGAAACCGGGCGTGGCCTTCCGGGCCACCGCCCTGTGGCAGCTCGTGCGATGGCACATGGGGGAAACCCAAGGTGCCTCTTTAGGTTTTTCAACGTGCCAAATCCAAATCCGCCGTCTGTTTTCTCAAATTCTAATGTTTTAGTAGAGTTTTACTAAATGGTTCCTAATTGTGGTTAGGTGCATCGGTGGAAAATGACTCAATCCTCACTAGCTTAAGCGGTTCCTGGGCAACAAAATATCTGTGAGTGGACCCCTTCTTAACTTGCATGGTTTTATAAAATGTTAGGTTTGCATGCATTGCATATTTTATGAAATGAACATGGTTTCTATTATGTCTTGTGAATTCTATATTAATGCTTTTGAAATAATTATGATATATCAAAATTAAGTTTTACTAAAGGATATAAATTATTGGATTCCCGTTTTTTATGGCTTTCAAATATGATTTATTTTACAGATTTATGATTGTGCAATATCATGGATTGATGAGATGAGACTTTGAGTTTTTGAGTTCCGAATTTGAGATGAGATTTTGAGATATGTTTTTGGTACTTATCTAGCGGGTTATCATACAATACATCCACAAAACACGGGTATGTAGACGTCTATGACACAGTTGAGGATATCTATGTATATATTTCTTCTCTGGCGTAACTCAGAGTCATACAACTTCACCTTCGGGTGATGGGGCTTACCATATTTCTTCATTGGCGTAACCCAGTGTCGTACAACTTCACCTTTGGATGATGGACATGTACTACCTTCGGGCGAATGAGGAGTTGATGATATATCCCCAGCTTCACTAGCCCAGGACTAGTGTCGGTGTGTGATGTTATATGTTTCTTATCTGGCATAACCTAGAGTCGTATAACTTCACCCTTGAATGATGAGGCTTACCAGGTTTCTTCACTGGCGTAACCCAGTGTCGTACAACTTCACCTTTGGGTGATGGACATGTACTGCCTTCAGGCAACTATGGGGTTATCATACAATACATCCACAAAACACGGGTATGTAGACGTCTATGACACAGTTGAGGATATCTATGTATATATTTCTTCTCTGGCGTAACTCAGAGTCATACAACTTCACCTTCGGGTGATGGGGCTTACCATATTTCTTCATTGGCGTAACCCAGTGTCGTACAACTTCACCTTTGGATGATGGACATGTACTACCTTCGGGCGAATGAGGAGTTGATGATATATCCCCAGCTTCACTAGCCCAGGACTAGTGTCGGTGTGTGATGTTATATGTTTCTTATCTGGCATAACCTAGAGTCGTATAACTTCACCCTTGAATGATGAGGCTTACCAGGTTTCTTCACTGGCGTAACCCAGTGTCGTACAACTTCACCTTTGGGTGATGGACATGTACTGCCTTCAGGCAACTATGATACCCCTAGAGAGTACAATATTGATAAGATTTATGGATTTTCCTTTGGGCAATGATAGCACTGTTATTGAGCATCGTTTTACTCGTACTTGTTTTACGAATGATGTCATGGCATGCTAGAGATTTCAGAAAACTTACTATATGTAGTATTATATTTGTTTTCAAAATAGGGGGTTAGTATGTTCATGAAGGAAATGGTTTTTCTTATTATTAATACTATTATTATAAACTTTGGTCCACTCACTATTTTGGTTTTGCGCCCCTCAGGATTTAGATTCGAGGCACACGATCCCGACGTCAGGGCACTTCCGCTTAGGCATCTTTGAGTCTCCTTTGTGTAGTACACATTCCTCGGTTCGTACCTTTCTATAATATTTCTTTCACTTTATTCTTGGTTAGTTGTATGCTCTAAACACGTTCCTGCACTAGTATTTCTCTTTCTAATTACATATTTTATTTGTATGCATGTTTTTAATGGCTTCGTCACCCCCGAGTGTCGACCAGCACGAATTATTAATTTATATATTAAGTGAGACCTATATGAATTTTTTATAATATATTATCTTAAAACTTTAGCCATCTATTAATTTAGCACATTATCTTTAAGTCGAAACCAGTCAGATATATTACTTAACCGAGGTTATTTATCCAAGTTCTACCGTAGTTTGGAATCTCTCGTCCAAAGTCCAAACACACAAGCATTGCAACTGAGTCTAACTGTTGATCATGGATTAGGATTCTCTTCCCTCCTCTTTCTCTTCCTTTCCATCCCATTCTCTTACATTCTTTATTTTGTTTTTCTCTTTCTCTATTTATAAAAAATTAATATAAGATGTTAATGTGACTTAACCGTGATTGTTCAAATAAAAGGGAAGAGAAGGAGAGGAAAAAAAAGATAAGAGAATCCTATCCCTTTGATCATAACTTCCTTATGGATCAAACAGTACTGAATCTTGTAGTTCACACTGAGAATCCTGACCCAAGTTGTCTTCTTTTGGCCGGGCAGTCGACAAAGTTGTCAAAAATTTAGGCAGAGCCCAGTTAAAGTTATCACTTCACTTGATGGTCGCGCTGGGACTGATGGCTCATGCAATTCCAGCCGTCCTTTTTTCGTGTGAAAAATCAACACGAACGTGTACACTGTGAGGACCAAGTCTCTCTTCACTATTCCCACCCCACAAAATTCACCTGTCCCAACTCTTCAATCTTCAATTCTTCACCCAACAACACAAACTACTTCTGTGACAACTTATTAATTTACCACAAATCTTTGTCTCCGACCCTCCAAGTTTCTCTGGAGTTTGGAGTTCTTAAATTTCAGAAACCTCACTTTCAGATCACTCTTTTTTCCACTTTCTGGAAATTTGACTTGTTTTTTTTATCATAAATTTGTTCGAATTCGAAAACCCATTTGTTGTTTTAGATTGGTTTTGTGTTTCTTCAATTGGGTTGTTCCTGGGAAACATGGCTATGCATCTTAGCAGTGCATGTTTTTCTGCTTTGAGTGAGAGGAGAGTTCCTAGGGTTAGAGCTGTTGCTTCTGAGAATGTGACCGCAGAGGATGATAGGGTGAAATTGGGTGGCTCTGATTTGAAGGTGACAAGGCTTGGGATTGGAGCTTGGTCATGGGGTGACACCAGTTATTGGAATAACTTCCAATGGGATGGTAAGTTGCTGAAATTTCACTTAAACATTACTGAAATGATTAAATAATTGAAAATTCGTTTTCAAATCGGTGCTTTATTATGTTACTAGATATTATTAATTCTTATTAAAATATATTTTGAAAAGTAATGAACGTAACCAGCCAACGTCTTTGTTTTGTTTTTTTTTTTTTTTTTTGTGATTGTTTTTTGGGATATTTGGATGAGATCCTAATCCTTAACATTATTTGACTAAAATCGGGGGTGTTCGTTTGCCCTCACTAAGTGAGACTGGACTGAACTGGACTAACTGTTAGTTCAATACCGTGTTTGTTCCATGCTGGGACTAACATTAATGAGACTAAAGGGGACTAGCATGGACAAAACCCTTCACTAAGAGGTCTTAGCGAGACCCCCCAATAACTATGGGACTAGCTAAGACTATCCTTTCTCGTCCTCGTCATGCTCAACAACCACTCCCGATAAACTCCTCGTCATCTCCGATCACCTAGATCATAATAAAATATTAATAATTTATATATTAAATAATATAATATTAGAATTTGTTATTATCCAGCTTCTTAGTCCAACACTGCACCAAACGCTTCACTAAGTTAGTCTAGCTTAGTCTAGTCTAAGCCAGTCCAGCTTAGTTCTTGAAGCTAGTCCAGTCCGAGATAGTCCGGCGCAACAAACGCCCCCTAATGGTATTCAAAGTTTGATCAAAGTCTATTGACTTTGTACACCTCATTATATTACAATTAATATTTATATTTTTATAGTTTTGACATTAATTATTTGATATTTTATGAGATTTATAATCGTATAAATTTAAAATCTTTCGTTATAATACTATTAAAAACGGTTACAATAAAAAAATTCAAATATTTTGATTGAATAAATGAATAAAACTATGTAAAAATAAGAAATAATAAATGGTAAAATATAATGTATCCAAAGTGTTAAAAAAATTGGTACATTTCATGTATAACAAAGTGGTACATTATTAAAGAAGAATGGGTACATTATAAATAAATTAGGGAATAGATAAAAGATTAAAAAATTATGAGGACAAATGAATTTTTAAAAAATATAGGCCCTAATAGAAATTAATACATGGGTACAAAATAAAACTAAAAAGAAAATACTATAAATTTAAAAAAATGTTGCAAATTAAAAGTGGGTACAGACTAAAAATATAAATATATGATACAAAGTTTAGGCATAAAACATAAATATACCATATGTAATTTTTCTATCATTAATTAAATATACACTGTCGCGTGACTATATACATAGTACAAACACAAATAAAACTTTAAAAAATATGGGCACAAAAAAAATAATATATGATAAAAAATTTAGCCATAAATATTTTATTTATTGAAATTTCAATAGTAGAAGAGTAATTTGGGTATTACAAAATCTTCACATTTTTCGTCTTTTTATATATATTATTTATGTATAGATGATTGTGGCTGTACTAGTTGCAGATGAGTTTTGCTGAAATTTTGAGCCTTTATTGTCTTTGTATATTAACTTTTAGCATCCCAGATGTTGTTGTACGGTGTAACCATATAGGCTAGTGTGAATGTGTTCTTCCCATGCACCCGAGTTTATATTAGTTTAAAGTAAAATATCACTTTTAAGAGAAAAACTTTTAGCATATGAAGGGGTGTTTCTAATTTAGCTTCACTCCTTGCACCTTCAATAACAATGTGAAGTGTGAGCCCATCATGGCTTCAGATTGAACGTGAGAAGTGAGTTGTATTTTCATGGTTCATCTTTATGCTAAAGCAATGGAAATTTTTTGCTGGTGGATTGATGGGGTTTTAGGTTTGGCCGTAAAATCCGAATGGTTGTATGAATTATTGTATGATTTGTATCTATTAAAGCAGTTTTCTTGTTTGGATTGGTTTTAATATTTATAAGGGGAAATTAGAAATTACTCAAATGTGTTCATGATGACAATATGTTTGGAGAAAACTGCAGACAGGAAAATGAAAGCAGCTAAGGCTGCTTTCGATGTCAGTGTAGATGGCGGAATAACATTCTTTGATACTGCTGAAGTGTACGGCTCCAGGGTAAGAAAAGCGTCTTATAGTTCTTCTATTCCTCTCAAATACATTTCCATAAAATTTGTTGCAAATCCAAATAAATTCATCGTTATCTATTCTCGCAGGCTTCTTTTGGTGCTGTAAATTCTGAAACTCTACTAGGAAGGTACATTGTAGGAATTCTTTGTAGAGGTCATTCTAATTTCAAGTCAACAGAGAGTACAGAGAATCACGTCGGTTTCTGTATTTTGAGAGTATTAGTAGACAACTGACTCCGAATTTTGCACAGATTTATCAAGGAAAGGAAACAAAAGGATCCAGGAGTAGAAGTTGCTGTTGCGACCAAATTTGCAGCTTTGCCGTGGAGGCTGGGCCGACAAAGTGTCCTGGGCGCCCTTAAGGATTCCCTCAATCGCCTTGAACTTTCTTCGGTAGAACTGTATCAACTCCATTGGTATGTCCCTTATGAGGCTTTGCTCTATGTATAAATACTTCTTTGTGCTAAGGTAACTGCAAAATCTGATCAAGTGTTTGTGTCATTTTTCAGGCCTGGAATATGGGGAAATAAAGGTTGTTCATAAGTAAAACCATTTTTTCATTGAATAAATATGTCTTCTAATATAATTAGGAGGTTATAACCGTTATGTATGATATTTTCGTTTTGTTTCTGAAGAGGGGTATTTGGAAAATCAATTCAGGGTATCTCGATGGTCTTGGAGACGCTGTTGAGCAGGGCCTTGTGAAGGCCGTTGGTGTTTCCAACTACAGCGGTATAAATCAATATCTTATCTATTTTATATTGTTGGTTAAAAGTAGCAGTTCAAACCATGAAAAAAAGGTTCTATCATAGATGCTCGTAACCAGAAGATGACGCATAAAGTTTGTCATTTCAGAAAAGCGATTGCGTGAGGCACACACGAAACTTCAAAAGAGAGGTATCCCACTAGCATCGAATCAAGTGAATTACAGCCTCATATACAGGGCACCAGAGGAGAACGGAGTTAAGTCTACCTGTGATGAACTTGGGATCACTTTGATTGCCTATTCACCTATTGCTCAAGGTGAAGTTGGAACCTTGTGTTTTCTTACCATGTTCTTATCGTCACTCATATATGTTAGCTTAAGAATTAATAAAAGAATTTCTAGAAGATATAATATCTTCTTATTTTACAGTATTCAAGACCTCTCTGCGTGAACTTAATCCTTGCTAAGTTAGAACTTAGGGGAAGGCAGACCTACTCGCTTTTCTCAGTCGGCCTTTTAATCTGAATTTTGAATTTTCGAGCATTCCTTGTCAAGCAGTTCTTAACTTCAACTTTACGATCGTATTTATTTTATGTTTCATGATAGTTATGGACTTAAGTTGTGCACATAAAGATTCACCTTTCAGGCTATCACCTTCCAACTATATGCCTAAATGAAACAGTGAAGCACATAAAATTCTGTATATCTTGTGCATTAATGTGCTTTATCTTTTCAACATCTTGCTTGTATTTTTCTTTTTGTTGAATTCAACTGTCGCTGGATAGTTGGCGAATGGCGGTCTTGCATGGTAAAGGGTGAAATATCTTATTAGCAATAGGAGGTGTTGTCTATTTGTTGTTCTACACTTGCACTCATATTTTCACCAAACCAATAAATACCTTACAAAAAATTCCAAACATCTTGTTTTTGGTTAAGAAATTAAACAGTTTTTAACGATACAAAAGGGACGTAGTTATTCTAAAACAAACAAAAAAAACATAGGGATTCTTGATAAAAGATGTCTGTTCGGATATTATATTAGTACTTGTAATCTCTTCACAACTCCGGTTACAACGATTATGGCCTTTAAACGCAGATCTTGCTAGATTGGTTGTCACAGCAGTCACGTTTTGCCTGTCCGATCCAGAGATAAAAGAGATGAGAAGATTGACATTTCTACTATTTATACTTATGCAGGTGCTCTTACAGGAAAGTATACACCTGAAAATCCCCCAAGTGGCCCCCGAGGACAAATTTATACTCCTGAATTTCTTACAAAGGTCATAATCAATACTTTGAATGCCGCTACACAAGTTCCAATTTTTTTTGCTAAAATACTGCTGTTATCTGCAGCTCCAACCTCTGCTGAACCGGATCAAGGAAATAGGAGAAAAGTACAGTAAAACAAACACACAGGTTTGTTGATGCTCTTTAAATTTAACTAGCTTTTATCCTTTTCAATTAGAAGCCCTAAAGTTTTCATTTCTGTGTGAAGCATGGCTGAAAAATTATCCCCAAAAGATCTGTATTTAAGCAGTTCATTCATTTTGGACCCTTGAATACGAGTATCAAACGCATCATAGATACTGTTGCAACTTCCAGTTCATGCTGAAAGCAGCTCTTTGTTTCACTGTTTTATATACATGTGGTCCAACTCTTGGTAGTTTCATGTTCTCCATATAAGATCATAAAACCACATATTGATATATCAGGCAAGAATTCTGAAATGTAGAAATAGGTGTTGGGGTTTAATGCGAGTCGGGTTCCTGTTAACAGGTAGTCCTAAACTGGCTGATAGCCCAGGACAACGTTGTGCCAATCCCGGGAGCCAAAAACGGAGAACAGGCTGCAGAATTCGCAGGTGCCCTTGGATGGAGGCTCAACAGTGAAGAAGTAGCCGAATTGCGCGCTTTGGCTACAAAGATAAAACCTGTTACTGGTTTCCCTGTTGAAAAATTATAAATTCTTATACAAGCATCTGGGCTGTAAGTTCTTCTATACAAGAAATATGTATACGCATCTTCACATCTAATGCAAATTTGACATATCTAATTTAAAAGTGATTGCAGGCTGACCATTGATGTAACTAGTAATCGTAGTCATACACTGTCATTGTGGTCTTAGAACAAGTTCGTAAGTGTTTGTTCAGATGGACACGATACGGGCGGAGAACAAACATCTAACGACAGTTCTCTGTTTTTCGTCTTCCGATACGAGTAGTTATGACTTACAAGGAAGAAAATAATGTAGTTTGACTTTAACAATAAGTTGAAACACTATCGTATAAATACTTAACTAAAGACATTTGCTTGTAAATGGAAAAACAAATCCAAGATCTCAAACATATAACTTGGACGATGAAGAAAAAAAGCATATAGGTACAGTACGCATTAACTAGCCTTTCTCTTAAATGAAGTAGGATTCTCTCCCTTCCAAATTTTTCTCATCTCCAATATATTTTTGTTTAAACGGTCATAATTAAATTAGGTCAACATTTCATGGGCGAAGGCACTTGCCATCGCACCAAGTGCGACCTCTTATGAACTTCTTTACATTGAGAAAAAAAAAATGAGAGTGGAAGGAAGGTTCTAACTTGATATTAAAGTAGCAGCTAAATGATAGGCCTGCTACTCCTGTACTGAAAACATCATAGCCTGCAGGTTCATAGATGGACAGCAGCAGGCCTCTGAGAACAAAGTGACATGAATGTCAAGTTCATAAACTTTGGATCCTTAATCGATGGAGTCAGAAAATAATTGGCTTCTTACGTACAAGTCGGACAATAAGAGTGCGTTTGTCGCATCGGATTATTTCGAACTTGACTAGCTTCAGGGATTAAGCTGGACTTACTTAGACTAAATTAAACTGGACTAACTTAGTGAAGCGTTTGGTGCAATGTTGGACTAAGAAGCTGAATAATTATCTAACTCAAATATTATTTTATTTTATCTATATTTATTAATTTATCATTTTATTTGTTTCTAGAATCATATTCCTTCCGTGAAGGCCAAAATCTTTTTTTAATTTTTTCTTAAAATTATCTCTCTGTAGCCTATTCATCTTTTCCTCCGCCATTCTCCCTCTCATCTCCCTCTTTTTATTATGTTTCACCATTTTTCCAGAATATTCTTCCTCTCTCTCCATACTTCTCCCTATTTTCTTCCGGCTACTGTCTCCCCCCCCCCCCGTCTCCCTTTTTTCCTCCGTCCACTTATCCCTAACTTCTCCCTCTTTTCCTTATGCAGAAGATTCACGCGGAGGATTCATCGGAGCTCTCCACCCAGCGCCTCCTCTGAATTTCTCGGAAAATCTCGGGGTTCTGTAGTGATTTTTCCTTTTTGTTTTGAATTTGTGTGGGGATTCGCAGGTGCTTGAGCATTTGGTACGCTTTCGGTCCCGACTTGCGTCTGGGTCGCGCGCGAATGCGGAGATCGACATCGAGCTTCTGGTGATGGTCGTCTGGTGGTTGCAACCATGGCGATTTTGCTGAGAGAGAAGGAGAGAGTGAATTGAATGAAGAAGAAAGAAAGGGAATCAGTGGATTGTTTTTCAATTTTTGTTTGAGGTCTGGGTTTAGGCTTTTGGGTGGGATAGTAAAGGCCCAAGGGAGTGGACGAAGGTGCGAAGGAGAAGGGAGTGGCGAAGGTGCGAAGGAGAAGGGAGAGGGCAAAGCAGCAAAGGAGAAGGGAGACATCGAGGGATCAATGGCAGGGGAAAGAACGGGATTAGCAGTCCACTTGAAATTGAGGGGTCTCGCTAAGAATGTTTAATGAAGCGTTCAGTCGGGGCGAGTCCCCGTTAGTCCCATTAAAACTAGTCCAATGTGGACAACAAACATAAGACTGGACAAACAATTAATCTAGTCTAGTCCAGTCCCCCCTAATCCGGTCAAACAAACACACCCTAATAGTCTCTATGAGACCATTACTCATTACTTGTAAGGGAGCATTACTTTTTACATTCCACACAATGTTATGTGTGTTCAAGTATTTTTTTTTTTTTTTGTAAATTGGATGAGTGACTCCTTACATTTAAAAAGTCAAACTGTGTTTCATTAGTAGCATGTTTTTTACGTACTTAAAAATGGGAAGTAATGAATTAGGGCCAAGAAAGAAGGAAGGGGAAGGAAATCAATTAGTCCCTCCAGTTGATCTGATTCCTAAAATTCCAAGTAGTAGATGGTAGTCAATAATCGAAATTATTTTAATTTCTGTTTTCTATAAGTAAACATGACACGTGTCTACTCATTTAAAAAAAAAAAAAAAAACTGTGTCTACCTCCTTTGTGAGCTAGTACTTAGTAGCCTTGTGCATAAACTTACATACACAAAATTCTAGCCAACAAGCACTACCTACAAATGAAAGCGAACATTAGCTACAAGATTTTGCTCCAAAATCCAACAGTTTTCTCCAAAGACTTGGACCTTGCCCTTAGCTGAGGTTTTTAAAGTGGAAATCTGTTTTTCCTTGTGTTGATTCACATGAAAATATAAAACATGATCTGTTAGCAGATTCGACTGGCCACCATCCTCCATAAAATTTTGGCTTGGATCAATAGGTCTGCTGCCTCCAATATTTATGGCAATTGCTGGCTTCCAAGGCAGAAAAACTTTGGTGCAATCAGTGATATATTTCTGATTCCTCATCACTCTATATCACTTATTATGTATGTACTTATGACAATTCACGTGATGGGTGACTTAGAAAATGACTAACGAATCTAAATTCTTGATTACATATATTGGGGGTTGGGGGGTGCTTATACAGACAAACTTCAAGGTATACCATCTTTAATTTTATTCTTCTCAGTACACCTTTCCTCCTCTTACACAGATATTGTACCATGCAAACCGATATCATATATTTCTATAATACTCTTCACGTGATTATATTAAAAAATTGGCCTTATACCAGACCCATATATCGTTTGACTAATTCTTTTTCGAACTCTTAGATGGAACTCAAAGCTGAAACTGATTTAAAAAAAATAGAAAAAAGTTGACTTTGTAGGTTTTATTTTTCCTTGCTTCTAACTTCTATGGAGATAAGAATAAGATAAGTGCAGATTTGCAATTGCATCATCCAGCAATCTAAAAATTTGCCAACTTAGGCCAAGCTGTCAACAAAAACTTTGCCTCTGACAATCTTGTCCCTCATCATTGTCCAATAAAATATTATTGCCAATGCACACGTGGCACCACCCTTACACATTATCATATCACAGATCGATTGCCCTTCAAGTTCTAGATTTTGGCTGCCTTCAAATAACCAATCCCAGTCATCCATTTTCCAAACCATCCTGCATTCTACAAGTAACTGACCTAGCCACAAGTTTTCAGCATAGCACAACTGGGTAACTGCCACGTGGCCTGATGGCATGGGTTTCTGTAGAAATACGTAGCTCTCTGTGTCACTAGCCAATCCTTGCTCTCACTGACAACAAGCCCCTGTCTTAACTCTAACTGCTGTAAAAGTCTCATTAATTTGGTCGGTTTCCCAGTTTCCTGTTGCCCTCCAAGCTCACCTCACAACCACAAAGAGAGGGGTAGAGAGAAAAAGAAGTGCTTTTGACAACAGCAGTTTAGAGCTTGTACTGTAAGCCTTCAGTTTCCAGTTCAAGAGCCGTGCTTTTGATCAGGGGTGCTTTTCTATTTAATTTTCTGCTTTGGGTTTTCTTTTATTTCTCATTTCCCTTCTGGGTTTGTATTGCTCTATGCAATAAAAGAATTCCTTTTTGCTTTTTGGGCTTCTACTTTTGTAGAAAAGCAGAAAAAATTTCATGTCATAATCTTCTTTATTCTTTCTTATCTTATTTTTCTTAATAATATTTTCCTTTAAGTGGTGAATGATGTCTCTATTTCCAACTGCAACTTTCCTGTTGAAGTTTCTCCATCTTTTGCCTATTTTTATGGTAGGGATTATTTTATTCTCAATTTTTAATGATTTTTTATGTTAATCAATACTTTAATGATGAAGAGTCTGATTTGGGTTCTGAATTTTTTAATCCACAAACTTTATGTGGTCTAGTAAACATGATATTAAATTTTGTAGTTATATATTTGGGGTTAGGACTTAGGATTGGTTCCATTTTTAGTATGCAGCATTTTTTTAATTATAGTAGTATTAATCATTTGCAATCATCTCTAAATCTGTCTTCTTTCTTTGTTTTGCAGCAATTTCTGTCTGCTCAGAGACATGAATTCTTGCATTCCCGAGTGGAACTTTGAGTCTGATCTCCCCTTGACCAACCAGAAGAAACCAATAGGGTCTGTATTCTCTTTACTTATTCTCAAAGTTTTCGCCTTCCATGTTGAGCTATCTTGATTGGGGGGAAATATTTTACAGGCCAGACCATGAACTTGTAGAGCTCTTGTGGAGAAATGGGCAAGTAGTTTTGAACAGCCAAACGCATCGAAAACCAAGTTTTAATCCGAATGATCAATCGAGACAAGTTCAGAAACATGATCAGCAATCAATAAGGTCTGGGGGGTTGTATGGGAATTCAAGTAATCTGATTCAAGATGATGACACCGTTTCACTTATCCACTACCCGCTTGAGGATTCTTTCGACAAAGAGTTTTGTTCCCATTTTTTCTCTGAATTGCCTTCCTGTGATCCAATTGAGCTTGACAAACCAATCAAACAGTTTGAGGGAGAGAAGGTTGTGAAGTTTGATGCTTCTGACACCGCGCGTCTTGTTTCCAACTCACCGCGGCCTAATGGCAAGTCCTCCGCTGGTGTGGAATACCCTGCAAATCCAATGCCTCCTCCAAGATATCAATACATTAATTCAACTGATCAGCAGAACCAAAATCAAGGAGGCTTGGGGAAAATAGTTAATTTTTCGCAATTTGCAACCCCGGGAAAGGTTTCAGCAGGATCTTCTAGAGGACAGTTAGGAGGGAAAGAGTCCGGAAATTTAGCGCAAGCGGAGGTTAGGGAGTGTTCTGTGATGACGGTTGGTTCGAGTTACGTTGGTAGCAACCAAGTTCTAAATGACCTTGATGTGAGCAGGGCTTCAAGCAATTGTGATGGAACTACTGGTTTATCGGCTGGACATTTCTACGACAACGTTCATAAGATAATGCCTCAGAGCGAGACAGGGAAAACGGATACGCTTGATCCAACGCTTACTTCGTCTTCTGGCGGTTCTGGTAGTAGTTTTGGCAGAGGAGGAAACCAGTCTAATGTTGTCAATAGCAACAAGAGAAAGGGTAGAGAGGCAGAAGACTCGGAGTGCCAAAGTGAGGTAAAAACTTAATTAAAACCCTCTTTCCAACACATGACTTGTAATAATGATTTTTGCCGCGATTAATAGGATTTTACTTATGTTTTAGGCTGCTGAACTTGAATCAGCTTCAGCTGCGAGAAGTAAGTCAGCGCATCGATCAGGATCGACCAGGAGGAGTCGTGCTGCTGAAGTCCATAACCTCTCAGAAAGGGTAGAATTTTTTAAGTTTCCTAGCATTACAAAGTTTCGGAATTTGTCACTTTTTGTTTCTTTCTAATAACTTGTCCATTTGTGCAGAAACGGAGAGATCGGATTAACGAGAAAATGAGAGCATTGCAAGAGCTTATACCTCATTCTAACAAGGTGAATTTACTTTCTTACAACCCCTTTAATTGTTTCTAATTATTATCTAGTTATAAATATCTTTTACTGATTTGATCCTTGATTTTTCAGACAGATAAAGCATCAATGTTAGATGAGGCAATTGATTACTTGAAGTCACTTCAGATGCAACTGCAGGTACAACGTCCCCTCATAAAACCGAAATTGGTCCTATATTGTTTGTACGTAGCTCAAGCTACTAACAATTTTTCTTGTTGATTCAGGTAATGTGGATGGGAAGCGGGATGGCACCAATGATGTTTCCGGGCATGCAGCACTATATTTCCCGAATGGGAATGGGAATGGGAATGGGAATGGGACCGCCGGCCTTGCCTTCTATGCACAATCCGATGCATTTACCTAGGCATCCGCTCGTTGATCAGTGCATGAATATGGCTCCAGCAGCAAACCAGACTGTAATGTGCCAACCACCGGTCTTGAATCCCATTGATTACCACAACCAGATGCAAAATCCCTCTTTTCAGGAACAATACATGCGTCTCATGAACTTCCATCACATGCAGACTATGTCTCAGGTTTGTCTTCTTAGTCTTGAGTAAATTATTAGTCATCGGTGTCTTGTTAGACTAAAAAATTTGTTGTCGTTAATTATCTAACTCAAACGATTTTCATTTCTATCATATTGAAATTTTTGTGTAGCCAATGAATATGTTCAGATTTGGCTCCCAACCTCTACAACAGAATCAGATGATGGCACCAAATGGTCTCAGCAGTGGACCTTTCGGTGGAAGAGCTGCAACTAATGACCCTTTAAGTGGAAAAATGAGTAAGTCACTTAAAAGCACTTAACGTATAATCACTTTTTATACAAGAAGCATGCATAACTTCTTTTTCAAACTTAAAAGGAATAATTTGTTTAAATAAGTTCTGTGAACCCTAGCAAGTGGCTGTCAAAATCAGGGGCTGTGTGGTGAATTCGGTTTAATTTTTTGTGTTCATTTCCCACCTTATCTTCATTGCCATCTCTCAAGAAAGTGAATGGTCACAAACTTGTTACTTCTCTCTAAAGGGGTTGGCCGCATATATTCTTGTTGCGCAGTATAGCAGCTCATATCTGTTGAAGAATGTAAGAATCTCACGTCGGAGACTTGACAAAATAAATTACAATATATAATTAATGGTTTCACACTAATTGCTGAGATTTAAAAAAAAAAAAAAACCTTTACACCCCAGGCGATGTTTTCTATTTGCATTCCCGTCCGCTAAACAATCGACCAGACAGATGCAGGTAGCTTAACCGCCTTACCTGTCATTGAACACAAGTTGGAGACGTATCGGCCTATATTCCAACCAATGTGATCTCCATTACCGATGGACAAATCTGTTCAGAAACACATGGGCGCGTCTCACTGAATTGAATTCTTCTTCTAGCTCTTCATTTTTACTGATAATATGTTAAAAGTAGTTTGGTTGGTTGAATCATTGATGCCATAAGTGTCACTGTCATACTAATTTCAGTGGACACACTGCTTTTTTCTGATGTTAACAGGTTAATGAGAGAGGATGCATACTTATCTCATCTCTATATATGGTCCCCCGGCCCTAGCTGGCTTATAAAACAAGATCATATAATTGGTGGCAGAAGTTGTTGAATTATATTGGAACATTTTTTGCTCACGCAGATCGCATGATCTTACCATTTAGATAATTCGAAGAGTCACTCTCGTATGTGTATGCCAATGAACAACTACTGCAAGAGTTCAAACATCTCAATCCGGCATTAAACTGGTTCTGAAACCTTACAAGCGGACACAAGACTAGTTGTGTAGCTTTCTGAGTTGAGTTTTTTTTACTCTGGGAAGAAAGGAAGATAGTATTTCATGCCCCATAAAAATGTATAAACACGGGCATATTATTGCTGCTCATCGATGTTCCTCTTGTTAAAGGATGCCTCAAAATTTTAATGGAAACTGATATATGTTTCTTCAAGTGTTTTCTTTGTTTGCGCCGTTATGCTTATGCTTTGCCTGTGAGGAGCTTGTCTGTCGCTGCAGATATATGGAGAAACTGGAAAACTCAAATGAATAAATAAATAAAGTTGAATGATCACATAAGCTTTTCTTTGTTCTTACCTTTAAATTTTGTTTTTTGGTAAATTCAATGTTGTACTTACAGTTGGACAAATACCCATCGGTTATGGGTAACCTTACCCGTCCATTTAAATTTTATGGTTACGGTTATGGGTAACCGTTTAGATAAATAAACGGTTATGGGTATAACCGTTTACCCGTAAAATTTAAATGAGAGGTTATAAGTATTAATCGCGGTTATAAACGGGTAACCATTTACCCATTTATTTTATATATGTAAAATTAACACAAACCATGGTTCTTTATCAGACAAAACCTAGATCAATGCTATTGACTATAGTGCATGACTTCTATAGCTAATATAATATAACTTTCCTGAACCACTTTAAATTGCATGGTCCATTATATATATTATGTTAATATTTTACATTCCAAGTTAAATAATCCAAGAATACTGTCTTTCAACAGTTTTCGTAACCCAAGAATACTTAGCAAATTTTATATTATCTTCATTGCTAACAGTTAAAAATATTGTCTGTAAAATATTATTTCAATTATTGGAATGGTACAAGGACTTAAAAAATTAAAATGCGGAAATGTATGATAAATGTACCTATAATAGTGTTTAATTGTTAGAAAAAGAAAATTATGACAAATTTTTCTTTTTTAATTTTCAAGTTGTTAAAAAACACGTAGACGGGTGAAAAATGAGTAAATGGTAAAAAAGAAAGGATAAACGAGTTTAAAAATGATAAATGGGTAAACGGGTACTAAACGGTTACGGTTAAATAGGTACACGATTATGGGTATGGTTAACCATTTATAAACGGTTATGGGTATGGGTATAACTGTTAGACAATTACTCAACGGATAAACGGTTATACGGGTATGAGAATAAACGGTTATGGATAAATAACTGCGGTTACTCGTCAGCCATAACCGTTGTCCATCCCTAGTTCGAACACATGCTAATTATAATATGTTTCAAGAGACTTGTTGCTCAGTTCATAAAGAGCATTCAACATTTGCACTCCGAAATCCTGAGTTCGATTCTCTCTTGTGAAATTATTGCATGTTGTTTTCAAAGTTGAGCATCAATAACCTATCTCAAGCTTTATATATCTTGGTCTCTTAGTCAATTACAGCGGTCTTGGAATCAAAATACAACCAAAGCCAACTTGTGATACCCTTTAATTATTTGACTCGACAATGACACGATTACCATTTAGACTTTGTAATTCAATTTATGATCAAAGTGATTATTTTAACCTTCATTGTTGGAAGATTTACCAAAGTGCCATTTTGATTTTAAGTTATGGTTTCTGGATACTCATGTGGAACCAAAATTTATAATAAAAAAAATAAAAACAAAATGAAAGGAGAGAGCTAGATGCTCTAGAAAGGAGGGTAAAAAGGTGGAGAAAAAAAAATACAAAAAATGAGAGAAAAGGAAGGGAAGCTGGAGAATTCGGGGCCTTATTTTCCTCTTGGGGGTGCTATTCCATCCTTCTTGGGGGTCAGCCCTCTCTCTCATCTTTAGCTTTCTTTCCTTAGAGCCCTTGATTCTGGCTTCCGAAGCACCAACGAACAGCCCTGGTGCGGTCGGATGAGGGTGCTCTTCAGACAGTGGCGGTCCAAGAAATAATATTAGGGGGGTTAATAAGAATAGTACGGGCAGCGTGTAATTTTTTTTTAACAGAAATAACATGTATATCGTCATTTCATCGAGTCTTGGTAGGTCTGAAGTCATTTGGAAAAGACATACTATACACCTGTTAATGCCTCATTTACGTGGGCAACTAACATGTTCCAAGGCTGCTCCCATGTCAATGCTTAACAAAGAAACACACTTATCTTGAACACACTAACAATGTTTGATATTATTGCATCTCATTAATATGTTTGTCCAAGAATGATGATGTTTTGTTAGTCTCTGAGATCACCATTTCATTTACCTTGCATTTTTGGATAGTTTTTTACTTGGTTCTTTCTTTCTGCCTACCATTGTAATCACAACCAACAAACAAGCCAGAGGTAAATAATATTAGGAGTAGACTATAAAGGAGCAACACCTCTCTAATGCATTTTATCAAGTAGTTGAAAGGCATATATGAAGGGCAACTCCAACCTTTAAAGGGCAACACCCAAGTCATCTATAGACATTCACCGAAGTTCAAAGGGTCAGTACTCAAGTTATCCCTGAATATTCACTTAAGTTCGAGGGGTCAGCTAACTCCTCTGCCCCTTAATGCATCCGCCCCTATCTACAGAGCTAGATTTGAGTTAATTGTAATTAGTGGAGACGTAATTTGGAGATTGAGGATACATTGAAGCAACCAAGGTAAATTCTTGAATCTTTGTGGCTGCTGGAGCTCTAATTCATGTTGCATGTTGGTTGAGTTGTCACTATAACGTATACTTTTATTTAGTTGGAACCTTAAGACAGATATTTGAGCAGATTGAGTTATACTACTTAATAAGATGTATTCATGCAAAAAGTAATTTAATTGAAATTGTGATGGTACAATTTAAAGATATGGTTGGATGTTGATGAAGTCAGTAATAGATCAGGGATTAAGAAAATAATAAATAATTGGTGGAATCCAAATAGTTTGATCCCTACGTAAACAATTTAAACTAAAAGTTAAATACAACCAAAAAATAAAAAGAATTTAATTGGTACTATGCATTTCAATTCACAATTAGTGTGACACAACTACTTCCGGCTGATATTGGCTACCTTTTTATCTGTAAACTTTCATGTTACATAGTCATCAAACTCCAGGATCATGCACTTGGCTTGCACGACTTATCCTTTTATTGCATTATTTGACTTGGGATCCAAGTTAATTGCCTTCTATGTTTGAGAGATTTGAATTGGACACTTGTCATAGTGTCAATTATACAACTTTGTGCTTCTGCATTTTTAGCATTTTGGATTCAAGTCGACAGCCACCACAAAGTTATTGTCTCCTTAGTGGGATGGCCAGAAATGCGGTTGCATATCGCCTACACCTAGGCCCTAATTGAGGCTGGTCATTGCCTATGTCTAGAAGCTATCTTGGTCGATTTTTAGAACATTACCACAAAGTAGTATGTGTTTAGTATTTTGAAGAAATATGTTAAGTGTAGTTACCTACTTAAATGGATAACAATCGTCGTATTATTTATGCGATGTGGGCTTCGCATGCATCGATGGCCGATTAACTTACGCTTTGGTACATCTTATATATGGTGGGTTCATTTTGGCTCATGCAATGCCATCAATCACTTGCACTCATCAGCAACGGGAAACTACGTACATCTGCAGCGTAAACGCCTATTAGGATTTAAGGATTAGGGTTCTGGTACTTAGACTAACTAGTGCAGTTCTAGTTAGAAGTACAATATTATATAACAATTACTTACATGTGGACGTGCATAATTGACATTTGTCTCCCATCATCATTATAATCTATAAAATAATTGATCAAAATTCCATTCCCCTTTCCAGCAAGAAAGGATTTCTGCTTTCTCCGACATGCATGGGATAATAGCATTATATTCCACCAAGTGGGTGGAGTTCATTGTCATCTTTTCAAGTTCCTGAAAAGCTCACTTGGAGGAAAAGGAAAATGAGAAGTTGAGAACTAACGTACACTAATCACAGAGTAGAATAAAATGTAAAACTAAACTTAGTACACTTACTAATCGCATCTTGCATAAAGAGTACATTTGTGTGAAAGTCGCTTATATGAGCCAGTTTTATCTCCATCAAAGCTATTATAATCGTCAATATGATCAACAAACGCAGTACATGTAAATGTTAACTGCTATGATTTAGTTTTTTTTTAGTATGCAACCGTATACTATATAATGCCATTTATGACTAGTTGATTCCTGACTACACATCTCATACATCATATTCATGTCATACTCCGAAGTTTAGTACAACCTTTTCAATTTGTTCTCACTTCCCCCAACTTGTACCCTATTTTATGTCTTTTGAGATGAGGGTTTGAGGGTGGTCCTGTCATCATGGTCAGTTTCCCATTGATGTAATTCACATGCAAATATGAAATAGCAACGCCTCACTACCACCACAACCACCGTCATCATCCCATGACTCCTATTGCCTCCCAATTGTTACATTGTACCGATGGGGTCTATTTGGGCAAATATTTCTCTGGAGAAGGTCTCTAGACCTCAGCACAGCTCCCCAAGGATTGGCACTTTGATGTTTAGTAGTCAGGCTTTTGCTTGTTGGTGTTCTACAAGAAGAGTATAAAGTTAATTTTGAAAGGTGCCTTTGTAGGGCCTTAGGTATAGGCTTTGAGGCTCGCAATCAAAATTAACAAAGTGCTAGGCATGCCACTACTATCGCAATATAGCAGATGCAAAACAAGTGTGTTTTAAGTGATTACTTGCGCCCCCAGTTACTCAAACTTCTTGTTATCAAAGGATTGTCGGAGATGGGTTAAGTCTGCATTAAGTTCTTTTTCTTGCCTTGTAAACAAGGTCTTTTAGTTCATGATCTTGTATGTTCGAATGGAGGGAATCTAGAGCCCTTTAAGTCACTTGTTTGATTCCAAGTTGCTCTGAATGAAAACAAATCTATTAAGTTAACCAGATTCAGATGCAAATGAGACTCTTAAAATAGAAGACAAGCGGAAATGACTTGAATACATGCTAAATAGTGCATTAAACAACAAATCTACTAATTTAGAGGACAAACAAAGAGACTCAGGCAAGATTTCACCTTGTTTGGCAAGGTTGAACCTCTTGCAGCCACTTCTCTTTGAATTTATAGGGGTTGTACACTAAAAAGGGATGGTGGTAAACAGGTTTACACGAGGGAATCGATACTACAACACTAAGGGAGGTAGCAGAGCTTTTATACTAGACAAAAGATAGCTTTTC